TGGGGGCGTCTTATACATGGGGGCGTCTTATAGATGGAAAAATACGGTATGTCCAGACCCAAGGTAGATGCCCACAATAAATTTGGGGCAAAAGTTTAATAGAATACTAGAATAAATTTCAGTCCTGGAAAATGGAAGGAGGAAAAGGGTCAAATGTACTTCAGAAGGGAGCATCTAATGTGGTGCAGGGGCCACTATGGAAAAGGTCTGCCATGTCCACACCCAAATGTATGTCCACACCCAATGTATGTCTTGTGGGGGAGGGAGCTATGTTTTGTACATGAATCAGTAACTGTGATCCATATTTCACCTTGAGAATTATTAAGTTTATCAGTTAGAGAAGGCAAACACTGAATAGATAACATCGCCAGCACTGAACTGAATGATTTTCATTAAAAAAAATTGAATGATTAAAATTGAATTTTTGTACTATGCTATTCTGTTGTGTATGTTTTCCTGAGAATTGTCCTGAGAATTAGGATGAAAAGCTACCACTCATAATTGGTGGAAAGTACATTTATTGGAATATTGTATATATTTCACTTAATGATAGTGTTTGTATAAAATAGCAGTTCAGATTTGTTTTGGAACTGGACTTTACAATAATGAATCATGATGCAATTAATCCACGTTTTTGGAGTGTGTGCCATTTTAATAGCAAAACCTTACAATTAATTAAGAATATACTATGTTTGTGTTTAATACCCTAAAATTATTGTTAATACTTTCTCTTTTTGTGGCTTTCTTTATTGGTGTCCATTCCTTGTTTGTGGCACCTGAGTCAGAGAGGGATGCATCTGAGCATAGAAATTCTGATTAGCTACAGTGCTAATGGCAATCATAAGCTTATTCTGCAGGAATTTGTGCCAGTTATTTGTTATTTGCTTGAGATTAATCAGATCCTACTGGCTCAGACCTATGGTGCAGTTTATCCACTGTAATTATGTAACAGGGAGGTTGTTTTTTTAATACTTGATGTATCGTTGTTCCAAATATGGAACATTACATTAATTGTCACTGTCTTAAAAATAATGTACTGTATGCTTGTTGTAGAACGTCTCACTGTATAATCTGATGCAAAAGATCTTTTGTCAGTGAAATATATAAGCAACATTCTTAAGAAGATTCCTTGACTGTGCTATGTCAGCAATAGCTATTGCAAGTGACATGGATTTAGAATTAATTAAAGATGGATAATCCATCTGAGACAGCAGCTGTCTAAGCTGTGAAGTTAAGCAGGGGTACCTCTAGTTAATCTATGAGTGGAAGACCGCCAGGGAATACTGGGGTTGTAGGCTCGATTGGGAAAAGTCAGAAAACAGCCTAGAAGAAGGCAGTGGCAAACCATTTCCATATCATAGTCAAAAAACCTACATAGATAAGTTTTCCAAGAAGTTACCAGAAAGTGGGAGAAAGTTTTACATTTACATGATCCATCTGGGGGAGAAAAAAAATCCCAAAAGTTACATGCATAATTTCTTTTGTCATTATTAATCAGTATTTACCAGACAGACACACCCATCAAGCTATTGCATTTCAGCATAAGCAAGGTTATGCAAAGCACAGAAAAAGAGAAAGTAAGTGATTTCATTTTGGCACAAATAGGAATAGCATATATACTTTAATCCATTCTGGTTAATTTTAATGAATTGCGTGCATTAAGCTATGATATTCTTGGTTTCTGACCTTAGATATGCTTATTCAATTTATTAGTGTATTTAATAAAAGATAACGGTTATGATTTTTCTTGCTGTATATCAGCATTCTGATAGTGATCAGAGATTCTGTGATCAGCTACACATAGAATAGAAACATGCAGTGGTCACCAATGCTGAATGTGAGAAACAAAAGACAGATGTTTAGTTGCAGAGGGAAAAACATGGAAAACAGCATGCTGGATTGTGGTGGGAGGAGGTAAATAAAATAAATTTTGTTATCAACTTTAAGCTTGCTCAGTGATTGTCAACTATTGGTAATAGCTACTGTTCCAAAGTTACAATAAAGATTTAGTTTGTA